AGGGTTTTTTTCCAATATTGACTCCAGTTATTATTTTTAAGGAGAGAGTGAAGACACAGGTGTTTACCTACCTGCACTTTCACGGTTCAGATTAGGTAGTTTTCCTTGCATCATACACATTAATGTCCTTGAAAGATAAACACACTTGTTAAAGTATCCTTGCAAGGTGACACAGTTTAGTATTTAATTAGTTATTCCCCAAAGTTTAAACATCAGAAAAGGAATCACAAACACAGTGATTAGTAATCCTTTCATTTATATGGTCATTGAAAAATTCATATTTATCTACATATTTTTGAAAATCTACTGTCATCTATATAAGGTTTTTTGGAAGACAGAAATACTCTTTTTCAGTGGATTATCTTGGGAAAATTTAAAGAGGTACAGACAATCTGTTGTTTTCCCTGCGTTTTTAGATGCAGCACTTGAAGATCTACAAGGAAATAATTTCTCCCATTTTTGTTTGTTAAAAAGTTTTCCCCTTGAAAAACTATGTGTAGTAATTTTCTTTCCTCTCCCCACATGTAACAAACTACTCTTATTGTTTGTGTGTTCTTCCCTACAACAATAGAAAGAAAAAAATTAGGAAAATGTAACTAATTCCATAAAACTTACTAGAGCATTGTCTCAGTTTAATGAGGCTGAAGTGTTTTGCTAAGGAGGATGAATTTTGAGGAAGACCAAGGTTCTCCCTCTAAGCAACTGTAAATCTGAAATTAAGAGGCTTCAATTGGGGAAGCATGGAGAAAGAAAAGATAACGGCTCTCTATTAAAGGATATATGTGTATTGACAGAACAACAAAAGAACACAAAAACAATTAAACAACAATTCTATACCCAAAGTTCCTTCCAAAAAACCAGTTCAGTACTTTCAGTTCTTTGCCACAATTCTACCCACGGCCAGCAGGGGGCGCTGTTGGATCACTGGAGGAGCAGAACCTGCAGTGGGTCCGTGTTGGCCAGCAGGGGGTGCTGTCGGGCTCTGGTAGTCGCCATGTGGGGGCCCAGTGCGCGCGGAAGAAGCCGAAATGGAGATTCCCCCCCACTGAGAAGGGGAAGGGGAAATGGGCAAATAGGGGCTCTTCCCACAGACTCACACTGTCTGTGGCTGACTGTGACCATGATTCCCCCCCTTCATTGATGCACACAAGCTGCTGCCAAATATGGGAGCGGAGGAGGGAAGGGGTGACCTCCTCCCTCAAAGGTTCCTTCGCAGATCGGCTGAGCCTCTCCGATGAAATCCCAACAGGTCTGGACTGCGGGCAGAACAGGGCGCAGAAGAACAGAGGCGAAATGGGACCAGAAGCAGCCAGATGACCCGGCCGAAAACAAAAAAACACTGAAAATCCCTCCACATGCACACCCCCCCGACTCAGGGCAAAAGTGAAGTGCCTGCCCTTTCCCCAGGAGAGAAAAAAAACTCACCTCCACCCCTGAGGAGTCTTCTGAGGACCATCAGTCTGGAATACAGACTGCAGCCAGTTCTTTTGTGTGTGTCAATCACCCCAGCCAAAAGAACTACTCTCCCTCTCCTTCGTTCAACATCCCTCTTTCATATTGATGCAGGGGAAAGAAAAAAAAATCCCACTTGGTTTTTTAGAACAAGTAAACCTATAAGTGTCTGACAAGACACTCCAGTAGGCAAGATGCTTCTAACATATCTAAGAATTACTAGATTTCAACTTCATGCTGTTCTCTTAGTGCTTGTAAAAGCTACAGCTCTCAGAGCCTTCAGCTCTTTTTTCATTACTTCCGCAGAACAAGTGTGGCTGCAGTACAAGATTTTCAAACTTTACAGATAAATACCTCCCCCTTTTTTGGAATCAGTTCTACAGGAGTGAAGCAGTAGTAGATTGCTGTGACATTATCTCCTAGGATGCCCCTGCCAGTTGCAGTGCTAAGTGGCATTCTCTTAGCTATCTAGAGAGTCATCACATTGGTCTTGAGAGACAGAATGTACTCCTCAATATCTTCAGGAGCTGGAAAAATGGCTAAGGACATGGTACACATTTTTTCAGCCTGAAATATATCTACTTTAAATCCTGTTTCTTCAATTCTTTACAGGGTCAATGGAAAAAAAGGCACCTGTTGAAAAGGAAAATTGATTCTTTTGTACTTTCAACACTGAGCAGCTATTCCCAGCTGCTGAATGCTCCAGAAGCTGATGAAGCTCACATGCAAGAGGGAGGAATACATTAGCAGCTCCTCATCAGATGGCAGCAAAACTTCCACCCCTCCACATCTATACCTTGGAAGTGAAAGAGTGACTGACACATAAGATATTAGCTTATAGATGATCAATGAAAGTCTCTGTTTTAGCAATGCTTTCTTACTGTTGCTACTGTCAACAACTACAAGGATTGCACACTTCTTTTCTCTAAATATTTTATTGATAGGTAAGATAACCACAAACATATACACTTCCATTGTTCAGTAGGATCAATACCAACTTTAATGTTGCTTTAGCACTGATTCAAAGTTGTTTTAGTGAGAAGAAAAATCTCTAACTATCTATAGAGTCTGAGTCTCTAATAGAACATGGCTGCCATTTTTAGAACAACAAATCCCAAACAGGAAATATGGCTGAATGTTTTTTTCACCAAGTATTGCATGATCTCAGGAGAGTACTAGGTTAAAAGACAGAATAACATTCATATTAAGAAAAAGGAGCTACGCATTGATGTCATTGACATCTCTGTCACTGATTCTTTTTGTGATCTTGCAAAATTAATTTAGTCTCTGTTTTACTTTGTCTTTCTATTGTGAAATGAATTCTTAACAATATTCAGTTATTGGTTGTTGTGAAGTTTGTGAAGACTGTGATCTTTGGTTATACTGACCTAAGCCCAAGTCTACCCTCTTGGGAAGACCTGAAGTCCTGCTCCATGATCACCCAAACATGCCTCGTTTACTTCTAAAGGAATGGACGGCTGTCATGGGTTGAGATTGGCCCCCCCTGAAAGTCGGAGGCTCAGAGGTGATTGGGTGCCAGGGCAGTGTTCCCTGGAAGGCAAATCACCACTTGTTTTGTTCGCTCCTGTGAAAAATCATATATACACAGCCACTGGAAGCTGTTGGCAATATCTGTTGGTGTCTGCTGCTGCGTGTAGGTGTAGAAGGCCACGGGGTGGCTGGGCTTCCTTCTTCCCCCCTCTCTGGGGGGGAGGGAAGGGGAGCCTTGTGCCCCCCCTCCCCCAGCTCTGCCTAGGCCAGAGTTAGAGGCAGCATTTGGAGTGAGTGTGTGTGAGGGATGTGACTCACAACACCTGAGATAAGACGGAGGAGGCTAGGCCCTCTTCCCCCTCCGCAGCTGCGGGATGCTCGGGACAGTGTATAACTGGACCAAGCTGCCTGTGGCCAAGGCTAGGGGGCTTTTTTCTCTCACCGTTAAGTGGGAGTGGATGCAAGGCTCAGCACTGAAACAGAGCCAAATGGATGGGCTGAATGCAGTTTGGTGTCAGGGAGAAGAATCCCAGAAATTGGAGACGGGCAGAGAGAGAGACTCGGGAGTTGCCCTGCCGAGGTTTGACCAGGGGCAGCCAAAAACTGACTTGGAAGATGCTATGATTGACTGAATTACAACAGCCTACAGAACCGAAGTATGAGACTGAGAGAGAGAGAGATCACACAGCAGAAATGATACAGAACCAAGGAGAAAGGACTTAAAGATATCTTGGACTTCATGAAGAAGAACAGACTGCAGCAAACAACTAGAGGTCAGTGGGGGAGTGTTTCAGGTTCCCTGAACACTCCCACAAGAGAGAGACTGTGTTACCTATCAGCCTGAAAAGGCTTTTCCTGGACTAATTGAGGGAGGAGCTTCGAAGGGACTGATAGAAGTGTCACTCACTCATGGCCAGTCTTCACGAACGAAGATTTGGGAAAGGTCTTTACCCACATTTGCTACAAGCACGCTGGTGATACAGGGCTTTGCAAATGCGGGAAAGGCCTTCAAGCCTGAGCAATGGATTTTTTTTAGGTGAGACACAGTGTGCGCTGAACTGAGCCCACCCTTTAATCCTAAGGTTCATCTGCTGGGGCTGAGCGAGCTTGGACGGTGGCAGCAAGGTCCTCAGGAGGTAGGTTTGTTTAGAGTGACCTTCTCTTAGATGGATGGCCTTACAGGGCTGACGAGCTCCATCTGCCCGGGTTTAGAGTTGTCCTTCTCTTCTGTGTGTTCCAGGGCTCCCCTCTCAACTCCCACAATGGTACTGTCCGCACAGGCGAAGCTCCCATTCTCTCGCTCCTTTCCGCGCCCGGGGCTGGGGGCCCAGCTCCCAGGGCCGGGGCCACACCACCGCGACACACCTATAGAAGTGTAATATATATATATATATATATATATATGTAGTTACTTTTAGCTTGTATAGTATTTATTTGTGTAAATAAAATGTATATATGCTTCCTCCTTCCCCTGTTCTCTTCGGTGTTGTGGGAAGGAGTGGGGGAAGCCTGGAAATTGGATTTTTGGATTTCTAATGTGGCTCAAACTACCACAACAGCATAAAACAGGAAAAAGAATCTAAAACTTATTTAAACATGGATACAGTGTGGGCCCACATTTATTGCTTGGAGTTAGGTGGTCCTCAAAGCTCACAGACAGGTATGCATAACGGTAAACAGAACTATTTAGTTTCACTTTTTATCACTTTCCTGCTCTCTGATCCAAAAGCATTTGAAAACTTACTAATATAATAAATGTGATTCAATTAAATGTTCACAAGATCTGTGTCCTATTTTCCCCTTGGAGGGTTTCTAGCAGTGTGACTTAGATCCTTGGAAATCACAAGCAATCTGTTCATTTTCAGGCAGTAGCTAGCCTAGGTGATACCGCTGTAGCAGAATATTCAAATAAGGCAAAAGTAAAAATCTAAAGAAGAGGTCTGTTAAGGTTGTTTTTTGCTTCCTCTGCCCAGCATACCTACAAAGAAAGCACTATTAAATGCAGGAAGAGGAATCAACACAAAACCCAGTTCTTTCTCTGGTATTCATGTCTTTCAGATATGCCAGTGCAAACACTTCAAGGGATACAACTAAGCAAGAGCAAGCCACAGTAAAGACACAAGGTAGGTCCCAGCATGTGATTAGAGACACAGCTTTACAAGCAAGTTCTTTTCTGCAGCAGACAGCACCCGTGTCCCTATAGATATGACTGAAACTGGATTGTACAATTCCCAAGGAGGAATATATCTCATACACTGTAAATAGACTGACACTGATGCTGCCATACACTTATTGTCCAGAAAGTAGATTATAAAGCACAAGTTTCTGAAAGTACACCTGCAGCAAGTTCAGTGCAGCACAAAAGCTGACAGTGACCCAGCTACACATAAGCAACATTAAAATCAACAGGAGTTGCAACAACATTCAGGATTACAGCCTTCAGACAAACAGCTGAGATCCCTCATATTGTCACAAACCTGTGTCTGAATTATATCACCAATTCATCTATGCTAATTTGTGTTCATTATGTCATGGTATCTTTTGCTTTTTCCTAATTTTTATGTTCTTGTTGTCATCCAGTACTTTAGATACAATCAGAAAAAAGTTACTATACTTTTTTTAATGTTAGATGTACCCTTTAGACTTCATTTGTCAAGAAGGTAGAATAACATTAGATATCTACAACAAATGCTGAATTTATCTTGTATTCTCTGTATTTATTCTTCCAGATTCACTATCTTCTATACTTTCAGGTTCTTTAGAGTAAATGCATAGCAGGCTTAAATCTCCAGTTTCTCAATGAATATGTTAATTTTGATCTCTTCCTTCTCTGGCATCCTGTCAGCAAGACATGGCAACATAAAGGAAAAATATAATGCCATTAATACAGAACATTTTGATTACTATGACCTCAAAATTTTAAAAAGCAGTGGCTTGACTGACAAGCAAATACCAGTTGAGAATTTGACAAGGAAAAGTTCCAGTTCATTAACAAATAATATAGAGAAATAAACCAACCTCTTTTACTGGATGGAAAGCAGTGAGTTTCAAATATCTATTATTTATGCATTTACCTGGATTTTCACATTATCACATTGTGAGGAAAGATTATGTGCAGGTATCCCAAAATACCAGGCAGTGGAAGGATTTAGGGAGATTTATTTCCAAAAGCCAAGAACACTAACATTTTGGCACAAGGTGCGACGGGCCTGGGAAAGACATGCCCTCTGCTTTTTTTAGGGCTTTTATCATTTCTTGGCCCCACTGCTGTAGGGGCCTTCAAACATTGCTGCAAGGACTTATCTTTTCTCATACCAAGGAGTCAGTTGCTCTGGAATTCAGGAGGAGAAAACACCTAAGACTATCCCTGGGAAAGATGCCTCTTTCCAGGTGGCAAAGCTTTCTTGAGCGACATACCACTTCCCTACTCAGATTAAATCTTCTGGAAAGATTCTTCTATACTTACACACATATAATGCGACATTATACCATAACAACCCAGAAACCAGGTATTTAAGCTCTACACAGACAGAAGATAGAGAACATAGGAAAGGCAAATTAAGCTTTTCCTTACTTGTCCTGCCAACTGGGAACCACAAGCTGGGTCTAATGCCCAGTGGATTCCAGGCTGTTGTTTAAGCCCAGAATGTGGAATGACGGATCCAAATTTTCCTCTGGTAAAAATCAGCACAAACCCACATCCTTTATATACCACCAGCCTGCTGTCAAAATTAGCTTTCCTGCTGGTCTGCAGAGGTGTGGATATTATTGCCATCTTTCTCAGCAATTGTGCAGACAATCCTTTGCATCCCATCATTGTGAGAGGGGCTCAACCTTGCCTGTGATTGTATCTTTGAATGAAATTTTCTAAGTACCAGAAATACAAATATACAACACAGGAAGGTTTACATTCACACTGGTTCTAGCACCCCTAGTCAACAGTATGCTTAAATAGTACAGTAACATATTTCTTTGAGCAAATGTAACATTTACTGAATTCTCCTTTCTCTTCCTTCCAGAAGCTAATAAAAAATAACAATTAATGGAGAGAACTAAATCAAATAAAAATCTTATTTCAGATTTATTAGAGAACAGGAAAGATAGCTACTGCTTTTTAGAATAAAGTAGACATTCATAGCTCTTTGTGCTCTGAAGCAAAACCATGGAAACACTTGCTCCACAAATACATCTGCTCATTGAGACAGATATATGCACCATACACACATACCTTTTGGAGCTGGTTCTGCATCTTTTGTCTCTTAAGCCTCTCCAAAACAGGTCATGCAAGGAAAGAAGTGGATGTTAGGGAGGAGTTTAATTTACATTTGTTCTCACCTATCATAGAGTCCAACATAGATAATATGTCACCAGTTTAGGTTTGACAAGCTCTTTGACAATTCCATGTCCGCCTCTAAGTGATTTGGACTATTATACAGGGTTAAAAAGCTGCAACTCAGTTTCCTCTAGCCATAGGAAGAAATATTACTTTGGATGGTGATTTACATTGAGATTAATCACAATCATGGCCATGGCAAATGGTTACCCTGTTTTGTTTTTAGTGATTTGATTGTACTGCACACAACAAATCAAAGATGACTGAGTTTTTATTCTTGGTACTCTTTAAAAGTAACCTTACTGCTGATATTACACATTGATATTACACCTGAGTTAACCGGTTATATGGTTATTTTATGTAGGTAGGTGATAAGTCTTATGTCATCATAATGAGTATATGTAAGTGCTAAATAAAAGTGGACACTTTTGACCAGGAGCCTGAACATCTGACAAGCCATGTGGTGCCTAGATCAGAAGTTGTGTTTTAACATGCTATACATATGTGGGCAGCTGCATCATTTGGCTGTGGGTCCAGGCTCAGACTGGAACACCCCAGGCTGGTTTGAATGCTTCCTTGTAAAGTCCATGATGGTTTTCAGTTGGGGTCATTTTTAACAAAAGCAAATGCAAATGAGAAGCTACTCAGAAATAGCACTGCATATCAATTTTCTACATCAATTTATAATGCAATGGAAACAGATGGTACATTCAGCACTGTCAGAGAAAGCCATTTGGGTTTTTGGGGACTATCCCTTTTTTCTTCTTAATGGTATATTTACTCTATTTTCATTGCTGAGTTGTTTCAACACCTGTATAAAATAAGATACCACCATAAGTGAGAGCTACGTAAACTAATCTTGGTAACAGATGCAACTTTTTCAGTCCTAAACTGATTTTCTGACCAATGATGTAGATTGTAAAGCATACCACTTTTTGATGGCAATCAAAAATGTTCACTTGGTTTCTACTTCCAGAAAGAGGGAGTAATTTATCAGAGGTTATGAGAAGCCATTTCAAAAAACATGAAAGGTTCCTTCAATTTTTAGGAGGCAAGTTTTATGTCAAAGATGAGTCAACAGATCATTTATTTTGATGTTCTATTCCACGGAGTATTTGTATTCTACATTTTCTACAGTATTTACAAGAAAGGCCAGTATAGTGATCTAAATTCAGGACACATAGCTCAGAGAAGATTAATTTAGATCAGGCTTGGGGCAACGCAGAGCTTGTGCAATTTACTGCCACCATTTCCACTGAACCTTCATTGATTAATTCAGCTGCAGAAAAAAAGTGACCATTGTTTTTTTAAGGGAGGAGCACGACCAAGGTTGCCAGGTTGTGTACTGATATTGTACAGTTCTGAAGTAACCCCTTCTAGTGTCTACAGCCAGTCAGAAATTCCTCAGTTACACATTTTCATCAGAAATCGTTCATTCAGGAAGAGACACAACAACTAAAATCCACCAAATATCTCATACCCAGAACAAAATTTATGGCCATGATGAACAAAAGCAATGCAGAAGGCCCAGCCTTCCGGGACACAAAAAGAAACCAATTTAATTTTGAAGACTGAACTTCAGTTTTCCATTTTCCAATGTCCCCCACTCACTGTTCTCTATCACACTTCACAAGTTTTATTCTACTTTACATTTAGTGATTACTTCCCAGAACAAACACTTGAATCCCCATCACAGGAAAATAACAAAACTGCCAAGCTAAAAAGTATTTCATCTTCTTGGTCTTCTTTTTCCTACCTTCAAGGCCACTGTAGTGAATCTTTTAAGTTGAGACAATTCTCTCAGAATAATAAAACCCCTTTCCTTCAAACAAAGTTTCTCTTTAGGCAATATGGGTGAATAAATATGCATTTTCTTCAGGGAGCTCTGAACACCAATTTCTGAGTGTTGTCTCCACTGTACAGCAAACATCTACACTGGAGATATATATCATAAAACAGTTTCCCTGTATCCATCAAAGGTAAATTAAGAATAATGGGAAGTATTGTAACAATTCTCACAATAACTCAGACATATAATAGCTTTGGTAGCTCAGAGAAGGGGCCATTGGGCCATTGTGGATAACATCCAGATATGCAAATCTTGATAATAGGGGCCGTGGGGGGGAGGAAGAGGGAAAAGAAGAGAAGGAAAGGAAGGACTCATGTTCTGTGCTCCTCAAGGAGAGAAGGAAAGTGAGTGACAGTTCAATATAGTGCATGAAAGGGGGAAAAGATTTGAATTAGCTGAAACAATGTAGTTACAAAAGGAATCAAGAAGTGTTCTTCTCTGAGATATGAAACAAATTATTTAAATTTTATAGTACTTGGTTTTCCCATTTCATGAAATAGGGAGCAGATATTCTTGTTTTGTTTGGCCTATTTATGTGAAGTCTCCACAGCACGATCTATGGAACCTGTCACAGTTGCATCAGATTACAGCTGCAGTCTTTAAATTCTACAGCATTAATTAATGAACCTTATTTATGTATTTGTGATAGCATGCTCTTCCAGCTTAGTGCTGTTAGTAATAACATCAAATTCAATAGCAATACATTTCAATTGGGTTGCTGTTGAGAGTCAGTATAGACAGCTCCATAGCAGCCATGTGAAGACAGGAAATCCCAGTGGACATGCCAGACACAGAACCAGCATGTGACCATTCATTGCACAACCACTGTTTGAGACAAAAATAGAAAACTACATAGTATTTACTTGCCAGTGAAGGACGTGATTAAAATTAGAATTCCATTGAGAAGCAAATTAGCACATTATGTTATTTCCATATATTAA